ACTGCAAAAAAGCAAGGAAAACACTGTACATGCATATAAATGAAGATGGGTGTCAGCTTTATTACAGAAATGGGATTTTTGTCTGTTTTTACTAGAGGACACTTCTCCAACTCTGTCCTTTCTTACAGCACACGTTTTCTTCCTTGGAATTTTTTTTCTTTCAAAGTCCAATTTGTATAAGCATTAATATTGAGGACATAAATGTCTAAAGATCTAAAACACGAGGTTTGCACATAGAGAGAAAATATTTAATTAGACCAGCTGATCCAGACCAAGCAAGCAAGCTTGAAAGCAAAAGCACATAAGGAATCTAAGTTGGTGTGGACCAGTCAGGAAAAAGCTGTCCCATTCCCAATTGTCCTTATCTTTGAGTTTGGACAAAGCGGCATTTTCAACTTGAAAACAATTTTCCTTCTCCTGCCCAGGACTGCATGTGGTTCCCAGCTCTCAGCTCTGTGCCATCAGAGTCTAGCGTCTCGCCTACCGCAGCCCTGGACAGTGTCAGATCTCAAACACAGGTGATGATATTCCAAACCTTTACAGATAGCTTTCTGGCAGCGTACCTCCATCTGAGACACTTCGTGGATTTAATTCTAACATAATATTCTTGCTACCGTAGCACAAATCAAAAGGTCTGTGCAAAATTGCGTTCTTTTTTTATGGTGACTGTAAGTAATCTATTAATGGAACATGAACCCCCAAGAATTACAGATAGTCAGGCTTTATCATACCTAACTCACAACAAATGTACTATCCCAGTGCGTATGTATTGCAGAGAAGGCACATTTCTTACGATGCCTGCCAGTTTTGTTGCAAAACTGTTTTCAGTGGCTTACATTTTTCTGATTTTTAATGCCAAATGTCTGTTTTCAGGAAAAAGTCTAGTAAAAAAATACATTGTTTTGCATCTATTCAAAAATCTTGGCCACATTAGAAAAGCTCTCCTTGTTAGGGAAGGAGCTGAAATTTAGTGGAGAGGAGGATTTGGAAAACATGAGTCTTTTGTTGCACCCATGAATAAACACCAAAACTCTGTGGTCATTTGTGCATCTTGGGTTTCAGCAGCTGGACTTCTCCCCTCCCCAGATTTCGGTCACACTGGGCGAGCTCCTTCATGGCAAGGGAAGGAGCGAAAGAGGACACGGACTGGGTCAAAGAGGCAATGTCAGGACCTTCACCAAGACCAAGGCTTCCACTTGTGTAATCCTGACACGTTCTCATAGCTACGACGTTCTGTGTACTCAGTAGTGCAAAGATGAGGTAGAGGAAAACATGACAAGCATTCAAGTCAGGAGCACAGTCTGAGGTCACACAGGCAACTTTAACCTACACCTATATTTGGGATGTGTGATTTTGTAATCTTTTTCTCAACATGGCTGCAGTTGAATATTTTTATTTGAAAATATGACCAAATACACATTTTAGTATTATACATATCTCAAAGGCCTACTCTAAGTAATCAAACTTGCACCAATTGTTACTGTGATATTTTTTCACTAATTAGAACAAGCTTTTGTGGTATGAAAAAACCAACATGAAAGGCAAGAAGATTTATCTGCCTCAGATCATTTAAACAACACTTAAGAATTCCACAACACTTCTCAGCTTCAAAGTAGTTAAAAGTTGTTAACTAATGATTCCTTCCAGCAACCCTGCAAGATAAGCAGATACTTTTGCCACGTTTTTACCAAAGGAGACATTGCAACCTGGGCGAGAGCCAGCTCCAGAATGCGGTAGCTTTTGGGCTGCCAGCTCTGTATGGTCAGGCCACACCTCTCTCTTAAATGTTAAACAACAAACACAGAGCCACAGGCAGAACCCGGATAAAAATAGCATGCAATGCAAGGCAGCGAGTCAGTCCTTTACTTTTAGGCGTTACAGCTTTAAACAATTAACTGTCAAGAACAATCTTCATTAGTCTTGGTCCAAAAAACACACTCTGTTGAGCCGGCACATTTAATAGGTACAATATCACTAATTCACACTGTGCTATCTGTGCTACTTTAAGAGATCACACCGAGGAGGTACAAAAGCATAAAAATTCCAGTCCAGCCCCAAAGCAAGCCTTGGTGTCTCATCATACGCATAAATGAAATTATTAAAAGAGATAACCATCTTAAAGACTCCTTGAAGATGTCCAACTTGCATAGCTTACACCCCAACACTGTTATTCTGTCAGCATGAATAAATCATAAACTGGTCCTGTCATCAGAAACCGCACCTGGCGTTGCACACCAACTGCATATTGAGGGAACAGGTTGCGTTGCAACTTTTATCACCCAGTTCATCACGTGGCAGAGAACACAACAGCCATGGAAGCAGTCAAGCAACTTCCAAGACAGCTGAAAAGCCTGCATTCTTGTATGATATAATTTGACTGACTTAATATCTAATCCTTAAGGTTTTATTACAACAAAGAAAATAATCCACTTTGCTCAAGGAATCACATCCAGGAACTGATTTTTAGACCAGGACGTAGCAGACTGTAATCAAAGTCTGTTCTATACATATCCAGTCCCTTTCAAAGCCAAATATTTAGAATGACCAGAACGGGCATCAAAAACAAACAAAAAAAGGCATCAGATGTCTTTTTCAGGTAAAAGCAACTTAAAAGGCTGCAAAATAACTGCAACTGACATTTAAAATGTTTCAACCCTAGATGTATTCCGGGTCTTTGAAAGTACATGTAAAAGAAAACAGAGGGTGTTGGAGAGCAAGGGGAGGATGCAGACCTAGCAGTTCAGATTGCAGCTTCTGGTAGGTACGACTGCCCATCTTCATAAATACATCTTATTCATCACAGAATAATGAATAATGACAACTGTTCCATTAAAGATTTACTTTATGAGTACTCTTCAAATTGATTTCCATGTGCAACAGAGGAAAAAAAAGTTAGCAGCTTACTATTTATACGTACATAACTCCTTTCCTCCCCTCTTCTCCTATCTGAGTGAAAGGGTAAGAACAATTATGTTACTGTAGCAGCATTTTCAATTCATTAAAAAATAAGCAACATGCCTCTATTTTCTGATACCTTGCAATTCATACAGGCTTTTTGCCTTAATTCAAATATATGAGACTTGCCTGTAACAAGCAATACACATCTCACGTTGAAGTTCAGAAAGAAAGTATACTGGAAGGGTGGGCTTATTTATTCAATTTAAAGATCACACAGTACAGTGGCCTCCCAACTCTCACAAATCCTGTGTGCGTTTTGAAGTCCACACAGGCCTGAACACACTCAGTCTGTTGTAGCCAGATTCAATTATACTGCAGGGAGGCAAGGGGCAAACACAACAAGCCGCTGGATTTTAAGTGAAATCTGTACAAGGTGTACCAAAACATTTCCGTCCCAGTTCGAGTCACTTAACTATGACTGAGACACCAGGAGAACAAACAGCATTTCTATTCACAAGAGAGAAGGGCTAAGACTATTGGTCTGGTAATGCTGTCAATAGGCATCTTCAGCCAGAATTTAAAAGATATTTAAAAAAGCCCAGAGAAAAAATCGTTAGGTTTTAAAGTATTAACTTTATTAATAAATATACATCCATATGATGATGTAAATACAGATCATGAACACTACTCCATTCCCATACACATAATTGCACACGAGTAGCTCAAGTTCATGGACATAAAAACATACACAGTATCTAATCAGGCTTTTTACAGCAGAGGGCGGGGTGCTGATACTAGTTATTTAACCGATTACTGTTTCCCCCAAAGTAAACCTGTGGAAAAACAAATGATAGATTAAAGTATCAGAAAGTGGTTCAAATTTCAGAATACAGATTTATCTATTTGGAAAAAAAAATCACAAGGAGAAAGGTCTAGTCTCTACTAAAGTCATAAATATATTTAAGCAGTGTTAAAATATATGCATTAAAATAGAGAAGAATAAACTTCTTTTGTGGTCAGAAATGAAGTCTGCAGTTCAAAGTATTTATAACTGTTATCAACTGTTTTAACTGTCAACTCTAAGGATAGCGTGAAACATTATTATACATACAACAAAGAATAGCAGAGTCACAGCTAATGAAACCATCGGACAAATGACTTCACATTGCTCTGCCTTTAAAGCTCTTCAAAAATGGGGGAGGGAGTTAAATTCTCATCTGAATTACTCTGTGTGTTGTAGTTCCAAGTAATTCTTTTCACAGACACATCACTTTTCACTGACAAGGCTTGGTTTTGTCCTGACTGAACTCTTAAGATCTTTCAGACAAAATGAAAATATATTCATTCAGAACAGAGATCTTTAATGGCTCTTGATACATAGTTATTTTGATTAGTTTAAACTAAATCCGAGATATAAAGAACATTGCTTTAATGACAAAGCTAACTGCTGATTTTAAAAATACTATCTTTGATATCAAAGTTAGCCACTTATGATGGTATCTGATTTTTTTCTGCCAAAATATGGTGCTAGCATCTTGAATATGTCCAGTGCAAGACTTTATAGTAGCAAAATTATTTGGTTTTAAAGTTTAAGTAAATTTAATCAGAAACTGAATAGTAGTTACTATATGTATATTAAACAGTGAACTTGTATAGCATCATTAAGGAATAATAGCAAGCTAATACATTTCATTTATGTATAAATAAGACGTTAGAAACTTGATAATTAAAAGAAATTATTAAAAAACAAACTTGACATGTAGATCTTCTGAACAGTGTTAACACACAACAGTGATCCTAGCTTATGAATAGCTGAATTATCATATATAATATAAAATAAGCAATTTACCTTACAAGTAATGTTTTCATACTATGGGGGGAAAAGGCCAGTTTTCCCATTGGTGCTATTAAAGTTTAGGCATTAACATGCTGTTTCAGTGTTTGCAATGGAAAGAAAAGTGTTGAAAAAAGCACAATGTATTCTGCAGATTATACATAGGAAGAGCAGAAGCATTTCTAGTTCACTTTGAATCTCTAACTCCTTTCTTCTTCCCCTCACTGCATGGCACCAGTAAACTATAGTCAGATATAAAATAAACCAGAATTAGGAAATGCCCAGCAGCGCACTTCTGGTCTCCTTGCTAAATCCAGAGAGCCAAGCAGTGCATTAGACTCTCTGAACAGTTTTCTACTTTATGCTCATCATTTCACAACTGACAACGTTAATTGTTTTTTTACTGGGATTATATTCCATCTGATAAAATTAATAAACAGAATGTAATGAACAGAAATTGCTTAGATGATTTCATTATTTCATCAGCATACTTGAATACAAAATTCATTATACTAGCAGAACAGCAATACATCTGCATTATCTCCTGACACACAGCACAGCACCATTGAGGAGATGCACAGGTGAGAAATGGAACAGGAGCAAACAGGATAAACAGGAGGAGGTAAGAAGTGGAGTTTCTCCAAGGTACAGTGGTGACATGCAACACGTTCCTTGCCAGCGAGGTGTGACACTCCTGCAGTTATGACATTCAGCTGAAGAGGACTGCTTTCCCAGCTGAGTTCAGGAAAGAACTCAAAGCAGTCTTTGTTGAAAAATCATATGATTAAAAACAGCCAATACAACACAGATCCTGAGGGTGAATTAACTCACGTTAGCATTTTGCATGTGTCGGAAGTTACATCGTTCTGAGAAAGATTGCTAAATTTCAGGCTTGTGAGTTTGTTGAGGAACAGAACGTATAACTGGATTTCATAGCTTCAGCATGAAGAAACTATTTTTAGTAGCAGTTTAGCTGCCATTAGTTCATCTATCAACTAAGGAGCCATCCAGTACAGTTGAGGTTCATTGTCTTAGTTGCCAGTGCATACACAGTTCCCCCACAACAATTCAACACACCTATTGTAAAGTACAGCATAAAGTCCAGCTCAATATGTGTTAGGCATCACTGGAACACCTGAAGGCTTGCTGCTTTTTTCCTGATAAAAAAGGTATGAAACATGACATCTGTTTCTTAAGTTGTCATCACTGAAATCAAGAGTTCTCATCTAAGTGACAGCAGGCCAGAATAGCATTTATGTTAACAAAAATATCAGCATCATTACTCATTCAGCACAAGCTCAATTAACCCAAATTTTTCTGCTCCCCAAATCTGCAAACTCTATATATTCTCCCCCACCCCCAGATATTTGAAGCTACAAATTTATCATGTCATATTATACGTGAAACAACTTAAACTTTCTTCCAGATGGGAAAAAAAATGCGCGCTTTAATTCCAGTAAAATAAATTTAGAACAGACAATATGCAACATTGAGGACTGATTTTTTTGAAGTCTAGATTAAAGTATTATACACACACACTCACACACTCTCTCACACTTAAAAAAAAAATTAAACACACCCAGTTGAAAAATTGAACATTTCTTTTGGAAGGAGGGAAGGTTTTAGTTTGAGTCAAGAAAGGTATTTATAGCTAACCAACAACGTTTTTTTTCAGCTTGCATGCATAGATGAATTACTTTATATCTGGGGTCTAGCAGTGCAGTAAACTGCATCCTGTTTGCATCAGCTATACAGTTTGCTTTTATAAATCATGAAAATGGTGTCCTTTGGTAGATATATAAGCTTCCATAACTTAAATATAGTATAAGTGTCAAACAACGAAATAACTGTATTTCCAGGAATATCTGGCAAAACTAAGTCTGAAACTTGGCAACAGTGTCTATTTAAAAAGTTTAATTTGTAAACATTATAGATTAATACTTTAAAAGCTATTAAACTGTCGCCACCTAAGCACAGATTTTAAAGGCAAAAAACAGTGTAAATAGCTATTTACAGATTTAAGAACATACTGTATAATATTAACCAAGTGCGTAACTAGAATGAACAGTACTTAATTTCTTATAAAATATTTCAAAGAATTATTTGTGGTTTGGTATATATACTATTAGGCATTTCAAAATTACACAGCAGAATCCTGTAACAGCATAACTAAAAGAACAGCTATCACCTAAAGGCAGATTAGCTTGTGTTAATAAGGTGCTGTGAAGTTGTAACGCGCTGTACAAATGCTCAGTTTTCTTCAATATTTTCAAAAGTATTTTTGGAGCATTAGTTGAAATTGTCTTACTGCTACAACTCCAGAAACAAAAGCCACCTGAAATCAGCACTTTAAAAAAAGGTTGAGTTTTTTTTGTTTGTTTTTTTAAGTATCCATCTGAGGTCTGTAGAAGCTCCTGCAGAAGTGGAAAATGTAGCTTGCTGCTTTCTTTACCAATTTTTCTTATCGAGTAAGAACTCATCTGGCTAAGTTCCTTATTGTGGGATAGGCCACATCATGAACCAACAGCCAGCTAATTCTGTCCTCCTTATTTCAATTATTTAATGCATAACCACACAACTAGATTTACCAAAAATTGAACGTAAAACTAGGGACATGGACATTACTTAAATATCGACACCAAGGCATATGCATCACTTCAGACTTTCTTATAAATTATGATTTAAAACCAACAAAACCCCCTTTAAACCAGTGCCTTCTCAACACTGCTTTAAAAGTTACTGAATTGCACCCGTAGGCTATGGCATTATTTGAGTGAAAATAAAATCTAGAAATCCAGACTTAGGCAAACACTACCACAAAATGCAAGAAACATGCCAAAATTCAGAGTAAAGCTGATTAGTAAGGAGTTACCAATTCCCTCCTTTCATTCATTAGGCTGTTTCATTTTGCTACTAGTTTCACCAGCAGCATGTACTCCTCTGTTATGCACCATAGGATAGGGAAAAGCTGCACTGCCACAAGTATAATTTAGATTTGCAAGCCGTGATAGAGCTTTAATGCTACCTGGAGGTCTGCCTGGGCTGACTTTGTATCCTGCTGCTTTAGTTGTACCCAAGGGTCTGCCTGGACTTGTCTTAAATCCAGCTGCTTTGGTGGTCCCCAGGGGTCGACCTGTGCTGGTTCGGTACCCTGCTGATTTTGTGGTCCCTGATGGCCTTCCACGTTTACCAGATCGGTTGAGGTTTTTCTTTTTCTTTAGTTCGTCTTTTGTCTCTATATTCCTGCCACTTGTGGTCTGCAAGTGCGATTCGTTCAACGCATCTTGTCTCTGGCATGCAATTGGTTTGTGGCTGACTGCGTGGCTGTATTTACTTTGCTGCGTGGCATACAAGTCAAACTGATCGGCAGATCTCACATTGTCTTCGTTAAGGCAAGAACTCTTGCCAGTCCCACAGAAAGCTGTATTGCTGCTGGCAACAGGGTGCATCATTTTCTACCAAAAATAAGAGAGACAAATATGTATCAATATATAATAATACTGCAGTGTTCCACAAGCGAGAATCTTGCAAAAGCTACCTCTTTCTTAAAATCAGTCCAAACTACTTTTTCTATTTTTAGTAAACAGTATTGATGTCAGGAAATTACTTTTTTTAAACGAAAAGTTTTATTAATCTTTCACTTGAGGTTTTGTATGTTAACCTTTACCCATAGTTAAAAATGACAATTTAAACTATGTATTATTTAGATAGGTATAATTAGGGAAGATGTACATTAATGAACAAGAGCATTTCAGCAACCAAGATACACAATATCCGCTCACCCACCGCGATTTCAAAACCTTTATAACTGAATCTCATCTAAATTCCAGCCGTTCTAGTTGCAAGATTAACCTATCACCTGTGAGCCAAAGAAAAATATGGTATCACTCTCTTGATTTAATAGATACAGGCTCCCAAAGATTTTTGTTTAACTGCAGCAAATTAATAAAACACTATTCCGTTTTGTCATTTCTTGTCACAATGTGAAACTAAGGCATTCAGCAAAGACATTGGTGCCATAGTTGGGAAAGCAGAGGTACAAAATGAATCTATTACAAAGTAAAAGATGCTAGATTGCAGAAATGCCACTCCTGTCCTAGTTAGAAGAGCAGGTACAAATTGCAGGTAATGCCAACTCCGAGATAACAACTTTGGGAGAAACAACACGACTCCTGTTACGTTGTCACACATCTCCAAATATTCTGGAAAACCTGACCGTAGAGGTCAACAACTGTTTTATATAGCCTGCTCTTTTCGTTAGACAAAACCAACTTGAGCTGTGTTCTGTTTACAGAGGTTTACTTCTTTAAACAAGATCAAAGCCCTATCTTCAGGATGGCAGAAGGGCTACTCTCACCTGCATGTCACTGCAGGCTAACCCCGGCTCCAATGGACAAACTGATGTCCAGCTGCTAGAAACCACCATCATAATTACAAGCAACAACTTCTAAAGAAATTGGTTATGCTTATATCCATCATACCAAATCCCTGCAGCATATGTACTGGGGCAGAATCACAGCAGTTAAGAGTATTACTGGTATTCTAAAAGTTTTTTAGTAGTAATGCTTCTAAATACCAACACTGCACAAATACTGCCTCAGATTTCTTAATAGTGGCAATACTGTAAGAAGCCAGCAAGCCACGAAAGGAGCAACAGGATGATATTTTCACCCATTCAACTATATTGGTTCTACAACTTAAATAAGCTGCAAATACTCAGTTTAATAATAATATTTAGCCATGCTGAAGACAAGATTAAGCCAATCAATATCTGGCAAACCAGAGTATTTCTGTGCTCTACAGTCATGCTTAGGACACCGAATACTTCTTCCTGCGGTAAATTTCTCTAGTAGATAAGGTTTGGAAGATTTATTGTATTTTCCCTGCAGTAGCTCTGGAATATCACCTACAGCAACCCAATTTAAATTCTACCATTGATTACTGAATTTATTTGGCAGTTATGAATGTCTTCTCCCAGCCAGAGAGAAAGCATACAGCAGAAACGGTTTATTTACCCAGGAGTAAATCCCCATGCCCTTTTCTTCTGATTACAATGGATACGTTCCCTGCTGTAACACCCAATTTACCTTGGCTTGTCAAATACGCATTACAGTGTATGCATTACTCTTGTGCAAATATATGAATATGGTTTTATGTCAAACAGTGAAATTATGATAGTAATATAGTTTAAATATTAGATGGTTCTAGCAGAGATTATCTGAGTGCTACAATTCTAGTGTGTTCAATGGGGTACAGTGGAACAAACGTGAAACCACTGTTATTGCAGGTGTTGATTAGCAAACGAAACAACTAAGAATAATTAGCAAGCCTGCACTTAGCAAAGAACAAAGGAAGTAAGCTACAGGTCAAGAGACTTTTCTGTGCAGCAACAAAAAGGAAGCTTAAGGTTCTGTACAATTAGCAGTCAAAAAAATGTTACCTTCCTTTAACCCCACTAGTAGGGCCCACAATATCACAAAAAATACCTCAGATTTTTCATGATACGTAATTGCAAACATAAGGGTTCTCATAATGTATTTTTGCTGCTGAGAGAGTAAGCCCAGCGGCTCTGAAAGGCTATTCATCTGTTTGTTGATACACTAGAGGACTCTTGGAGCTGTCAGCAGCATTCTTGTCTCGGTACTCACTTTAAACACAGGAACACTGGCTTCAGCCCCAAAAAGCCGCTCCGAGCTCGACTGCCACAAAGAAGGATCAGTTCAGCTGCCCAGTATACGAGGAACACACCAGACCAGGGAGAAGGCACTGAATAAAGTGAGGGCCCCTGGTATTTCTCAGGAGACCGACCACCGCTCAGACTCCTTCCTGTCTATATTACATTCTTATTCTCTGCTTTTTCTCTTCGTTACAGTCAGGGGGATTTTTCCTACAGACACCATCCATCTTTCCTGGGGAGAACCATCGCAGGTACTCCTAGACAGTGAATATATCCTGCTGTAACTGGCAAATGTTGGAGCTTCATAACCATATGCATGTGTTTTGTGTCTACTGCAATATCTCTGAGAGCTCTCGACAAACACTAACTTTACGTACAAAACCTGGCTGATGCTAGTTTACCTTCCATGTGCCAACAGCCAGTATCACTGTAATTGATGAAAGAAGAAAGATGTACAAATCAGTAACTGTTTAAAATTTCTTACAAGAGGACAAAGCTTAATAAAAAACCCACAATCTTGGTGGAAGACTGCCAATGGGGTTTTTTTTAAATGCTTTTTCTTTTTCCCCTCTCTGCACCGTTTTTCATCAAACCGTGAAAATTTCAAGTAGTAGCCAAAGTTCATATTCTGTGTTTTTAAGACTTTTTTTGAAAAGTTTTAAAAAGGAAATCTGTAATGGAGCTTAATTACCCTAACATGGACATCTCCAGCATAATTTTACTTCATTCACATTACAGTGGGGAATAAAAGAATGTAGTGAGTCTATCTGTAGAGTGGAAGCAGGTTTCTTGGCAGGGAGATAGACAGTATAAATAAGAATTGGTATAAAATGCAAAGCTATGCCGATTTAAAAATCACGCTCTAGCTAAATTGTATAGCCAAACACACACAACTTTGTGTGCAAGCATTCTTAAATAAAACTGGCCAGAAAAGTTTCCAGCGAAATAGAACTTAATTGTTTTAAACCTGTAAATAGACATGTAAAAGATATTTGCAACAGTTTACTTAAATTAGTTTTTAAACTGATTCAGCTGACTGGTTGAATGTCTCTGTGTAAACAAATAGTTAAGATGAGGCACTGTACTAACGAAATTCAGTCATATTTCAGAAAGATTTTTACTGGAAAGTGGCTATAGAGGACTTTCTGTATGGATCCTTTTCTATCTGGTAATATATTTCTATACAAATACTGGGGAAGGGAGGAGACAACTGGATAAGCTAGCTTTGGGAAAAGAGAGGCAGCATTAGAGCTTCCCATGCAATTAAGTACAGAAGGTCCACCGCTGCTAGAAATAAAGAAAGAAACAGGACCGACCATCCATCCTGGACCCGCAAAGCTTTGCTGCAGGGGGATTTCTGGACATGGTAATGACCCTTGCTTTTAAAGCACAGCTGCACTGCCACTCTCCTGAGTACCTGCAAAGTTAACCTGCTTTAGCACTAACAAGGTGAGTTTGAAGTTTGGTTTTGCCCAGAGGACAGCCAGGCTACTGATCAGTTGATACACAATGTATGAGGCTGTCATTAAGATTTTTTGTATTTCACAGTCAAGCTTGATATTGTTTGCTTTCTTCTGGGACATGAAACAGAAACCATATTATAGGCGATAAAGACGCAGCATGAAACTTAAGAAATTTCACCTAATTCCAGTGATATTACAGGTTTTGGACAGACAGAGTGAGTGCATCCTTGTATCCCTAAACACAGGTTAACATACTGCACAGTTCTAGCTTACAACTGCTAAGGCTTCTGTTACTGATATGGCCCACCTCTCTCTAGGCTTGAAACTATGCAGAAAATCCCCATTCATGTCTTGTTCACTACACAAAATTTTAAGATCAAAGCTACTTAAATCACGTTACATAAAAACACCCTCTTGGGTTGTGACATGATGCTGTCTTTAGCTTTCAAACATCACACCCTTTGCCTTCTTCATGGGCAGAATTTAGCTGCCAGCATAGATAAGATGAAAACTTTCATGAGCAGAGAAAGTGCACAAGCCCACTGGAACAGGCACTTGCTCATTAACTCATTTTATACCGAGTACTGGACCTATGACCCATTATCTGCATTAAGGAGAATAATCAATTCCAACACAAGAAGCAGGCAACTGTGCTGGTCTCACCCACCTCAGCCTGCTTTCTATAACTACAGCCTGGTTAGCACCAGAACAGACCTGACTCAGCGAGTGCTTTTGAATTCTGGTAAAACACGCTTGAATTGGAGCAAAACTGAACAAAACTGGAAGCACATCTACATTACAGCTTTTCAAATGACGAATACCAGGAAAGGTAAACTCCTATCACCAAAAGGGACAATTTTGCTTTTAATGAGGGTTAGCATATAAAACCCCCTCATTTTTCTGAAGTTTTTCACTGCTGAGCTTGCAATAGTTTCAAGATGTATTGACAGAGCTGTAGGAGGCTGTAGCAGTACATTTTCATCATCATCCAACACATATAAAGTATATGACATACTACTTAAAAACACAAGCAGTTACAAATATTATTTCTGCACTAGCACTCTGAACGTCACTTCTACCAATTAAAACCGTTGGAGTGGAGCACAGGACCTGCTCTGTTCAAGATCTCTGCATAAAGAACGCTCTATGCCACGTACGACAGCGCCAGGGGCTGCAGGCCCTGGGGAATACCAAAGGGCTCATTTTCTTTGTGGGGGGAATTTAAGCAGCGGCAGCGACATTTTCGCTTTCAAGATTGCAACAGAGATAGGTATTGGTTCTGCTCTTCCTTCATAGGATAGCGGGTGTGAGAA